AACGAAACGGCTATGTATCGAAAGTGTAAACACTTTCTAGCATGGGGCTACTGCAGTTATCTACTTTTATGAAGAGAATGTGATTTTTTAATACAAATGTCAAAAGTTCTTTTGTATGGGGCTGACACTTGGGGAACTATAGAAGCCATTATCACCAAGACTAACAGCTGTCTACACAAAATACTTCAGATCCATTGGCCAGACACCATTAGCAACAACCTACTGTGGAAGAGAAGAAATCAGCTTCCAGCAGATGATGAAATTAAGAAAAAGCGCTAAAGGTGGATAGAACACACAGTGACGAACTCACTCAACTGCGTCACGAAGCAAGCCCTCACCTGGCATCGTGAAGGCCAAAAAACACACTGTAATGAGAATCGGAGAAAGACATGAAAAGAATGAATAACAGTTGGGTAGAACTGGAAAGGAAGGTCGAGGACAGAGTAGGTTAGAGAATGGTGGTCAGTGACCTGTGCTTCATTGGGGGCAACAGGTGTAATTAAGTAATTTCAACGCTCACGAAAAACATAAATTTGAACAACCAGATATATACCATTCTATTAGTTGTTTTTGGGCAATTATATGTAGTTATTTAAAACCATTAAATATGCTCATACTGATGAACATGAGTTTGTCTGACTAAACTGCCATGGTTTATTCCAGAATAAATGATATACAAAAATACTTAGTATATACACAGACAAATTAAACCTTACAAACTAACACACATTCAATGCCAACTTATTGATATCAGACAAGTAACTAATACAAATTAGGACATTATAACTATGGTCTTATTTCAACATTTAAGAGGGATAATTTTAACACTTCGTATCACTGATTTGTATGTCGAAATTCAATATATCAACAGTATCTGTGAGGGAAAATCGAAACAAAGGTTAGGTTCAACCTATATTGTTGATAGTCAACCACAAACTAATCATTCACAATCGGTTACAAAGATATTTGTTATATACTAAATTCTTGATTCCATAGAATATTTCAAAATAATGTTTTTAAGATACATATTTTTCAAAAATCTAACAACAGAAGAGCTATTATTATAACTTAAAATAATCAGCACTTTATTTTCCTGTTTACGATGATTCATGAAAATCCTATTACTGAATAAGCCTTGAAGTAGCACCATGAAAAACTACTTGTAGCAGATAGGAATTTTTTTAATCATTTTAGATAGTTTTATTGTAACATTTTGTGCACATGCCAACTGTGAGGGTCAATATGTCATTACAGACTGAAAATCTTACTAATAATATAGTTTTTTTTTAAAAATAATAAGATTTATTTATTATCATTATGACATAAAAATATTTAATGCAAATTATCTCGCTTCATTATACTAAATATATAATTCATATACGCGAATTAATTGTTATAATGACAAGTGCACATAGTTGTTGCACATTATACATCTTAATTCAGAAAAATGCTAAATGTAGAATCATGAACAATCACAATATACGAAAACTGACATATAAAGGATCATAACATGGGTGAAATAGATGCACAATCAAATGAATCCACGATCGATGGAACCTGGGTATAGTATTACTAATAAAAATTCGAGAATTATGATTAAAATGACCTTGGAATTGTAAAATTATAGAATGATCGTATGAGGCGAAAGAAAATTCTCTATCGTTGAGTTGCAAAAAATTAAGATAACATACGATTTAAGTAGGTGGTTTACTATGGTGTATAATTCATTGCACTTTAGTCCATTTGTCGTGTCCAAACAAATTATAACTGTTAGTTAATACTTTAACGTTGTATAGTAGAAGTTGAGGTTAAAGAGATAAATTACGTCCTATACAAGGACTGAAAAAGGCTCATAAATTGACGAATCTGTCAATTTCACTATTATTGTTTAAAATTTTTATACATATGATTATCTTTCATTTTTCAAGGATACTGAATTCGGATACTACACTAGGTATTTTGGACTTACAATGTTTGCCGATAGCTTAAATACTGACATCCAGTCCTAGTGTAAGCAAGAATACTGAAGTCCAATATAGTAAGAAACATGTACCCTGATATAATTATACTGTTAGCCATATTCTAACTTTAGTAAAACTAGTAACTAAAGTAACAACCAAACTAATCCATTAAGAATGCATATATATGAGCTGGGACCGATCAAATGTAGTGTTAATATCAATCAGGGGGAAAAACCGAAACCATTAATTTGTAACGAGATCTACTGAAACTCAGTTTAAAAATAACAAAAATTGGTCAGTGTGATGGTTACTTTCCTAACAAAAAGGCTCGTGAAACCATATGTAGCATCATACAAACTATACCAACATACATAACATCTTTATTCTACGCAGGAATCTAACCTGTTCTACATAGTAGTAAAAGTAACATATAGGTCATAAGTGTAATCACTAGCTTGTTGCTGAATCGAGGAATAAACAATATTGCAGTTGAACGCTGACATGATGCGCACTCTCAGATAAATAATGTGACATCTCGTAGTCACACGATAGGAAGTATATTCACCTGATCAGGGTCACTATGCTTCAGTTTAAGTCAGTTCAGAGACATATAAACAAACCTTGTAGTGTGCAACTCGATAGGTCAACCGAAATCGCTTTCGGAATAAGCCCCTGATGATACAAGTATAAATTCTTCGCTGAATTAGCATCCAAATAACAATGACTACACATTAAAAGGTGTTGATCCAACTAGCCAATACTTTTAAATTAAAAGTTGTTTACATCTTACTATAGTGCTAAGGTTATAACATATGCGGTACATATCTAGCCACACATATCAATACTCTACCCATGACATGAAGCTTCTAACGCAGTTTTAATTCGCATAGCTAATTGGAGAAGAGTTCATAGGCATGTAATTGTCAATAAATCAAAACGAAGGATATAACAGACAGTTTTAGATAAAATAGGTACCTTGTATGTCATAAATAGAAAACAACTAAAAATGAAACATTTTCTCCTCAATTCTCCACTTTGTTAATACAATGTATGGTTATTGAATCGGTACACATTCATTCAAAATGCTAAGTTATAGTATTTCAACTCGTTTTTTAAAATTTTCACAGCGTTTTTAAAAAAATAAGAAGAATACTATTTTTTAATTAAAGTAATCTTTAGCAATTGCTTTTGAACAATTGCGTCGTATATGCCTTGAATAACCTTGTAAATCATTTGTGGTTAATTGATTTACAGAATTGAATATATAAGATTTGTAAATGATTCATTAAATTCGCTTGCTAGTGATCTTACAATGGATTTAATTTTTGAAAAGGGGACAAAAACATAACATTTACTCGCTTTTCATCAAAAAATTTTTTTAGTAATATTGGAGACATGGATCTTTGCGTTATCAAGGATAAAAATGCAATTCTTAAAAAAATGATTTTTGATTGCATTTTTCAATCAATTGATAAAAAAAAAATGAATGAATTTATCGGAGTTCATTGAACCAAAAGATGTTTGAGCAAAACGAACTCCATTTTCTGTTATTGCGGATATCAAAACTTACATTAGTTCCACGTGTTGACGGAACCATAGCACTTGATGGTTTTCCTTTTGTAGATCTTTCTTCTCAAATACAAATTAAAGGATGACTGATCAATATATATATATATATATATATATATATATATATATATATTTGTTATATTAATCGATGTATAAGGACATTTTAAGGATTATAAAAAATTCTAAAAAACACTGTGAAAATTTTAAAAAACTAGTTGAAATACTCTATTTTGAGTCCATAGGATATGCATGAACATAGTAATAGTTTATTATATGAATCAGTTCAGTGTTTAATTTTATACGTGGGTTTTTTTGCTAAATTATACCAAAACGGAAGTGTTTGAACACATGAACTATTTCAGTCAATAAACAATAATAACAAGATCAATTAATCTATCCTATTAATATTTTAAAAGTTTTATCAAAATTCAACATCACTTATTGGATAGAGAATAATAAGTATAATAAGTATTTTTAGTTCAGTAAAAGTATATTTTACATATTACATTTATAGTCGCATATATATATATACATATACATATACATATACATATACAAGACAAGATAAACATTTGATAAACTCCATTTATAAAAACCCTACAAAGAACATTTAAACAGAATAAAATAAGTTAACAATTCCAAAATTCACATTTATATTAAAAAAACAACAATAACAACAACAACAACAACAGAAAACATCAAATATACTTCACTGTAAAAAAAATAACACCCCTTTTAAACAACAAAAGAATGCAGTATGTTTAAACGTACAATAGTCAATAGAATCTCATTCATAAATTGCATAGAGAATTTTTTTTTAGAAAAATTGCTGTTACCTACTGTGGTCATTCAAATATGGACATGTAACTAATTGCGACGAAAAAAAAAGTCGAAAATTATTTCACTCGGATAAACTGTATGAAGTAAATGAAATTGCTGAAATGAAACCAAGGATTCGTATAATTCTTGTCAATAATTTGAGGAGTTTTGTTTTGTTTGTTTCTTCTGTCACATATCCATTACGTTTTGACACGAGCTTTAAGATTTGGATAAAAGATAATGATCATTTGAGCACAATTTATGTACTAAAATCATAGTAAAATCAACAACAAAAAAAATACCTATTCTCCACTTAACCAAATATGTGCTAGTATTGATGAATAGAAAAAAAAAAACATCTACGCCATTTGTGTATCTTTTTTCTCCAGAAAATATAAACAAGAAAAGAAAGAAAGGAAACAAACAACAATGATGAAATACACAAATAATAATAAGAAAAAGAATTCACTAAAATAACCAACCAAATAAACTGTTCCTTTTTTAAAAAAAAGAAGAAAATTAATCAGATAAATATAAATACAAGAAATACATATATATGAATAAATATGAATACACATTTACAAAAAATTTAAAATTAATGAAAAGATGAAAAAATTGACAGCCAAGTGTAAAATAACATCACTGTTAATACTATACAAGTTTTACACAATGTATTTTGTGCGAATACGAGACACGTAAATGTGACCAAATATAATAACGCTGTTTTATAGATTTGCATATTTCTGAAGATTCAGGCGTAAAGCTCCTGAATATTTCATTATTATTATTATAATTATTATTATTTTCAAGACCAATATCAGAATTATGGTTGACAGACGGAATACTACCAGCTTCTGATTGAAGACGTGTATGCAAAGCTTCAGTTGCTGCGGAGAAACTTGGCCATATACCTAAAATAAAAATACATACCATAAAGACTGGTGGATGAATTAATTTAAAAAGTAATCAATAAAAACTATCAACGGTGGTGTTATGAACCGAAAAAAACTATAATGATAATTCATTATCATGAAAACAAAACACATTCTATTGGTTAAAAGATGATGATTTAAAAATATTTATCGGTTTCCATGGTTAAGTATAATGATAATAATAATAATAAAATGGAATTGGAATTTTTCAGTCAACCTGTGATTCTTTTATTCTATTTCAAAATGATGCAGTAACATTTTATCTCTGTACTGCTTTATGATACTGAAAAAGCTAGGAAACTTCCATAGTTACAGTGAATCAATCATATTAAATTGCGATGAAAAAAAATATTACAATTACTAAAAAAATTATTAATATCCGGGATAAGCATATTTCGCATCTCCGATTAACACGTAAATAAAATCAAACAATAATGAGATAAAGAAAGTAAGAAAAACAAGTTGAAGTGACAACAATGACCAAAATATAGAAAAATTAACAATTAAACTTTGAATTCAATTAAAGTTTTGAAGAAAAAAACTTGCTCATCTACGAGATATTCAAGGCTTTAATACTTCATAATCATGAGGAATCAGAATCAGAAAACGTAGTTCATACTTAATCAGTCTGTATATGCAATGAGACTAAAGGGTACTCTACACTGTATAAAGTATCAATTGCGATTAATCGTTCGAAACGGTCACTGATATTAGACCAAGTTGCAATATGACAATTAGAATGAGCCACCCAGCATTGTGTGAACTATGTTTAGATGAAAGAAATCGAGAAGGAACCTTAAACCTAGGTTTCTTACTGCGAGTTAACACTAGTTTGTAAGGTTTGTCTATAGTTCTGAGGCAACTGATGTTTCTTGTGGGACTTGGATTATTTGTAAAATACTTTTGACGCTTGAATGCTATTTTATGAATAAATCATTGTCTCTACCTTTTGAAAATTAAAGCATAAAGTGATAGTAAGTATAGAATTGGCAGGTCAAGTTTGTCAATGCGTCATTGTGTTTTACGCTAAAAATATTTTCAAATAATTTGACTGTAATCCGAAATTTTCTCCGTTATATCAATAATATATTTCCAGTGGTCATGCGACTTTGTGCTGACATTGGTATATGTTAAATAAAAAAATGTGTAAAAAGGCCCAGATAGTATACAATAATTGACGATTATTGAAATTTGTTCCAATAACAATATCAACAAAAAGGTTTGAAAAATTGTCATCCCATTCATCTCTACGTTGTTATGTTCCAATTTACATATAGGCGATCGAAATCTGGGAATTTGTTTTCAGTAAGCATTTGGTTATCTACACACTGTTGGTGGTTCTAGTGACGTTTTGGAACGATAATAAGGGTCTATGGAAAGGTTCAATACTAAGCCGTTAAGGAATACTTTACCGTCCACAAACTTAATTTAGAGTAAATGAGTGAGAGATGTTGATCATGATTAAAAAATTGATTTTTTCAAATTGAAAACAAACATTGGTACAAAGATACACCTAACTATTTAAACGCCACACAAATCAATTAAGTTATGTGTGGGTTGAGATACTGCTCCGATTCCAAAACGGAAACAAGTGATAATCTTAAGGGATCAGTCCTCGACCCTTTGACCGAGAGATCCAATACACAAGGTGACACGTTACGTTCGGAGATGCAGTCCCATGGTAGACAGTCACCAACAATACGTTCAGACATCATTTGTTCCCTCATCATCCTGGAACACGTGTGTATTATTGGTTCGGAATCATGGTTTTCAAACTCATCCTATCCTAGTGAATCCTCTCGATAAATTTGCTTTTCATCCTCTTAATTTCGTGAACAACATTCCCGCCACGAGAAAGCAGTGAGAAGGACTTCCCTGGAAGCGGGTATATATGCATGGCTGCATAAGAGCATTTCGAAAGAGCGGACTCTTACCACTCTCGGTCATATTTTTATATCCTCTTAACAATTCTTTGTATTTATAGCTTTCTACAACAAACATATCACTGATACATAAAATATAGTTCATTTAAGCACCTGTAACTATGTGATATACTCTGATATATAAAAATCGTTAAAGAAGAACCCATTTCGATCAATGCTAATGAAGCAGCATAGTTACAAAGACTAAATAAACCTCAGCGTAATACAGGCAAAAATATTCCAACTATACAATTCTCGAAAGCCTGGAGAGAAAACAATACCATTTAGATAATATTAACATAAAAACAGACATTATACTACACATTATGCACCAAGTAAATCTTGTTCAAATTTACCGAGAGAACTAAATGAATACATTTTTTTTTAAAAAAACATATAGACAAAGAAATTGAACCACTAAGACTATCTATCTTTTGTGTGAAAGTAATAAAAAATGCCTAAACCAGAAAAATTCAATCGGTGATTGCATAAGTGTAAGACGAATGTTGGGAAACTAAAAATCAGAAATATTCATATCGATCAATAGAGCTAGCAATGTGAGATAACTATCTTTTTTTCTATCCTAATAAGTAACTTGATACCTCCTCTCTTCAAAAGTTGGAATGGGATGAAAAATAATGGTATTATTAACTAATCAACGAACGAAACATCTATTAAGAAAAAATTTATAATCAGCAGTTTGGATGCAGTCTCAACACATATGCATAGGATTTGAAACAACATAATGATACATTCATGAAACTATTCTTGTCGTGTTTATGGTGAAATGAAACTAATCTTTTAGACCATTCATGTGGGAAGAAATATCGGAATGCAATAAAATAAAAAAATAATATAAATCTGTATTTACAGTTAATTAAACTGTGTATATATATTGCTTGGTAATATAAAAACATACATGACTAATGATACCATTCAAATGTTAAAGCAAAATATAACGTAAGTTTATTCTCAGGATATAAATATTATCTGCAATAAAAATATTAATTACTAGTGATATATTTACTCAAGATCAGTGATTCTAAATTATTTGTTTAAAATGGAAGTTTACAACGCTGTAGGTGCATCTACTCTTTGTGTTCTATGATATTCCAACCTTCTGAATTCCTCATTACCTCTGTCTTTCTCCTTCAAAATTTATCTCACTGAATTACACTTGTTGAATAATATCTTCGAACCCTAATCTCCTCCAGAACCGTTAATACTTCTACTATCTCTCTACAACTATGAGATTTGAATTGACAGTTGCGTCTCTGTGATAATGTGGCATGGAAACCTGAAATGATGCACGTACGTACAAAGTTCAATGTTGTAACCGACTGACTGAGTGACTGAAATGAGTAATCTGAATATTACTGATACTGATACTTTCAATCGATCATTAACTACTGTATGAAACACACACGTACGATGAGTGATTATTTTGAACTTAAAGAGTCTTAAATATTATCATCAGAATATATCCATAGCATATATTTCAAAAAAAATTCTTAATGTCATATTTACCTGCACCAACACCAGCAGCAATGGCTGCACCTATACAACTACACTCTTCAAGACCTCTGCGTTCAACTGGGATTCCAATTGCATTGGAAATTCGTTGTAGTAACCAATTTGAACGTGACACATTTCCGTTGACATAAAGAATAGAAGGAAAAATACCTATGGGGAAAGACAGGAAAACATGGTAGCATTCATCGAATTGACGTATTAATATTTTATTCATAAACACAGAGAAAGAGAGAGAGATACATTATAACGTTTATTTGGTGTAACTTACAGATCGTCAATGAAATGTTCAGGACTCGAATCGAATTCTTATTGCTTAAAATTGTGGTTGATCTATGAATTACGCTATTACAATAATATCTAACATGAAAATTTTTAAACATTCAAACGAAATACATACTTTTAACAGACACAAACTAATAAAATGAGATAATTCATCAACTGCAAAATAGTTTAATTTTTAAAAACAGACGGCTTCAAAGAAACTTTCGGTCGATAAGGATTCAAGAGAATCAATAGTTAGAGCTTTTGCTACCAAAAATTTCGAATTCGCATGCGGTAAGTATTTTGTAGAGAAAGAAAACAAACTAGAAATAGAATAATAAGAATAAGATAAGAAAATAACCACGTAAATTGGTTGTAATATGAAATTTAAGTGTAAAATTCTGAAATCACAATGAGCCTAAACTGATTTTAAATGATTAGTTAATGTTAGAATTAAGAAGGCAGGGAAAAATTCAAAATCGAAGTTGCAAATTATTAACATTCCATTTAGATAAAATGTGGGACGCAACCCACTACTACAAAAACCTGACCGTAGCTGTTACCTTGACGTGATGGTCGGGCTTGCCTATCGTAATGACACAACTGAGCTATATTGGTTGGAGCATATGTTTCTGTAGGTTATGCCATGCCAGACAGGTCAACTGGAGGACAATAAGAACGACCGACCTCAAATCGTTGTCCGTTGGGCTCAGCGGTCACGTTCCCAGGTCACTGAGATCAACACTGAACCGGTTTCCTTTTCCGGTCCCTCAAGAAATACCCTTCCACAGTGTGGGCAGCCAGGAAGTGACATCCGCCCTCATACCTGTAACAGCACACGAAACCAAATTAATCACAGCCACATCCTTCTCAAACTTAATAACCCTCTTACCTCCGTGACCGAACCTTTCACATTCCTTTATTACTTGGATCCACTGATACAAACCACAAAAAACAGGCTTTTTAAACAATATAGCTTAATTGGGTAGCAAATATAGGGAAGTAGAAAGTATTGAGTATAACTAAAGAACAAACGAGGATAAACCTGAAAAAAACATGTCTTCATCCGATCGATATTTTTAAAGATGATGGCATCACAAAGAAATTTAGTCAAAGACCAAAGACAGAACCAAGCGGCATACTTTCAGCTGCTAAACTCGTTCTGATACACACAAAACGATACTGATAATGTTAAGAATATAAACAACCGTCATATATCACATTTAATTGTATACGCCAATTTAAATTTAAGTGCAAAAGTGGACCCATCGGGAAAACAAAACGACGGTTAACTGCTTGTTTTGTTAAGGATATCCCGAAGAACCTCTGAATTATAAAATATAATAGTTTCTGTCACTAGAAAAATCGGACACTATCCATGCGCTTAAAATAATCAATAAACAATCAAGGTCTGATCTTGTGGAGCTATAGCTACCAGTTTTACGCCTGCCCTATGTGTCAAAAATTTAGTGATCAACTTTTAATTAACTTGGTAATTGAAATGAACAAGTGTATGTAATTTTTTTGTTGATTACAATTTAATAAATTTAACTAACAATTGCTTCTACCTTATTTTTTTAGAATTTTTGATCCTATTATATCTTAAAATCATATTCTCCAGTATTCTAGAAAGATTAAGCCAATCATTTGTGAAAACTCGCATAAAATATTAATTTTGATTGTATTACTAACTATTTGCTTTTCACTGATAAATGAATTTATCTAGTGAAACACAGTCCCATCTATGTTAATAACTTGAATTAAATAAACCTTAATAAATTGTATTCGCAGCTGAACAGAAAACAAATGCATTTATTTGATTGTGTAAATATTGTTATTATTGCGTTAATTTAAATGTATGAGAGGGAAAAACAACTGTATGAAAGTGATGTATAGCTTCAATTAATCTATGTTATGCAAAAACATGATTTGTGTTCATACGATCAAAATTAATGTTGATCATATTACATGTTGACTTACGTGTTTGTTTACGACAATTTTCTATCATAAATTTTATATTAAATGCAATCGACTCAATAACAACACGTGCAACAAGTAGTTTGTCAGCAGGCTTTGAACGATCCAATCCGATTATAAAACCATCTGGTCCGTAAAATGATTTTTTACTTAATTTTAATGATCCATCTATTAATAAATTTTGTTGATTTTGAAGTGAATTCGCTTGAAATGGAATATAGAAGATATTTTCACGGGTAGCTTTTTCATCCAACCCTTAAAAAAGAAAATATTTTAATAATAAGATAAACAAAGCTATTTATTAATCAGAATACTCATTACACATGTATATCAATCAGTTAGTTTTGCAACATTAAACCAATGCTACATTTTAATTCTACGTGAAAATTGAATTGAGTTATTTAAAAGAAAGATTACAAAGATGAAAATAAGCTCAGTAAACTACAGATGGAACAGGATTTCTTAGGAAAGCAACTCAATAACTTGTATTGTTCCTGATTATTAATAAAATCGTTTCAATAGAAGGCAAGGAAACGTGAAACATTTTAATTAATGAACATAAACTTGAATAAAAAATGTCATTAAACAATTATTTACTATTTCATAGCTCATTTAACCTTACTAAGCCATAGAAGAGATACTGGTGATGAATGTCACAAAAATGTACAGTCATTTTCACTAGTCCAACAAGAGTCGGACATGACAAGCCTTGATTGTGCCGTGTGTTACAACGTGACGAAGTTTGAAAAAATAGTGGCAAACCAGTTGAACATATTACTTTTAAAAACTTCAATATCGAATCCAATTCAGAGACACAAAATAAAATCGCTAAATAATCGCCAATACACGCAAATCTTACCAAGTTGATCACCATCATAAAGCATTTTTTCCAACTCAGAATATTTGCAAAAAATATCTGAAACATAAAATAAAACTTTGATATTACTTATAGTTCATAAGTATTTTCGTTAATGATACATACTGAAGTAAAATTTAGCGAATAATAATACTAACACTACAGAAAATTTTTGTTAAAACTAATCGGGTAGCCAACACATTTAAATGACATTTTAAATGGAACACCGAAAATTCGCTGATGTTTAA